TTTCCCTTCTTGGCTGTCCCTACACTATGTCAACCCAGATGGAAAGCTAGCTCCTTTCCTGGCTTTGCACAGAGTGAAAAATATACCACATACGGTCTTTAGTTTTGTAGCAGATTTTATTAAAAGTTTGGAGAGATGGAGGAGATTTATATAAACAGCTAGTGAACTAGCTATCTCTGTTCTTAAAAGTTTTTTGACTCTTTTTGAAAATCAGACAGCAGTATTCCATCAAATTTCCCCAGCTTACTTTTTGTACTCTCTTTTTTCATTTTTTTTTTCAGAAGAAAAATCCTCCCATTTTCTCGTGCATTAAAATTTGACTATTCATCTCCACTCCTTTGCACATCCAAGATTAGATTTACGGGTTAAAGATGTCCTACCTCTGATTGATTTTTCCTGTTCTTCCTCAGCTTCCTTATAGCTTCCGGAAATCCCTCTAAGTGTCTTGGCCACTAATGATAACTTTTCTTGTTCTCCACTACTATTCTGGATTTATTCTCATTATTTACTGCTGTTTAGATGGAATTGGGGGAAGAGAAGAAAAAGCAAATGTGTGGAAGTCGTGCTCGAAATTATAAATGTGTATATCTTATGACCCAGTAATTCCATTTCTAGGGATAGATCCTGTGGCCAATTATATGTCTCAAAGACGGCCGAAGCAGTATATGCCATCCCACAGACACTTTCTCAGTATGACCTTTGCCAGGCCCTCATCAAGGGCAATTAGACTTCATTCCTCCTACTCTGGAAAATAAGAATTGACCTATTTTTTTTTTAATTAAGTTTATTGGGGTAACATTGGTTAATACAATTATATAATTTTCAGGTGTACATTATCATTTGACATGTGTATATTCTATTGTGTTTACCACCCAAAGTCCAGTTTCCTTCAGCTACCATATATTTGATCCCCTTTATCCACTTCACCCTCCTCCTACCCCTCTGTATTTGACCTCCTTACACCATCTACCTCCCTCCTTCTCCCCCACCCCACTAGTAACCACTAGTCTATAATCCTCTGGTAAGTACTCGTCTATAGTCCATGTCCATGAGTCTCTGTTTGTTTGTCCTGTTCCTTTGTTGCTTTTAGGTTTATATCCCACATATAAGTGATATCGTGTGATTTTCAACGTTTTCTGTCTGGCTTATTTCGCTTAGCATGATTATCTCAAGGTCCACCCATGTTGTCGCAAATGGCGCCAATCATCTATCATAGGACACTTTGGTTGCTTCCATGTCCTGGCCACTGTGAATAATGCTGCTATGAACATTGGTGTGCAAATATCTTTTCGGATATGGGTTTTCAAGTCTTTGGGATAAATACCTAGTAGAGGGATTGCTGGATCATATGAAAGATCAATTCTTAGTTTTTTGAGGAACCTCCATACTGTTTCTATAGTGACCATAGCAATTTGCAGTCCCACCGGCAGTGTATGAGGATTCCTCTTTCTCTGTATCCTCTCCGATATTTGTTATTACTTGTCCTGTTGATTATAGCCATTCTAACAAGTGTGAGATGGTATCTCATTGTGGTTTTGATTTGCATTTCCCTAATAGCTAGTGATGTTGAACATCTTTTCATATATTTGTTGGCCATTTGTATGTCCTCTGGGGAGAAGTGTCTGTTCAAGGAATTGACCTATTTTTAATTGATGGAGAGTGAAGTAATAACCCCATTATTGGAACAGTGGGATAGTTCCTTTACATAGTTCCTTTAAAACCCTGAAAGCAGTAATTAATGTTGCCTCATCAGGAGTGCTGCCACAATTTAAACACATAAATTTGATCTCCACAGAACCTATTCTTCAGTGGAAACTTGGGACTATAATGACAAAAGATGATGTCAAAAAATTATATCCACACGTGGTAGGTCTAAAAGTGACAAAATGCCCCTGCGCCAACGACGTAGCATTAATTGGCTTCCTTTTGAATTCGAAAAGTAACGGTAAGTTAATGGCTTTGTTGAATGTTAGAAGTGGCATTTTGTATTTTATAATAGTGATGTTTAACTGGCAGTATATGCTAAATAGATAGACACAATGAGGTGAAAATTTCCTAAAAATACCTAAGAATTTACATCACTTCACCTTGTCTACTTGCACATATGATATACTATTTTTTTCCTTGTGACTTTTTGTCATGTTAATAGCAACTTTAGCATCTTTCCTAATTTCCTTTATCCTCTGCCCTCTGCTAATACATTACTTCCTCCCAGAGATTATTCACTGTGATTCTAATCCATCTATTTGCATATGGCTCTTCCTGTCATATATAAACAGACACTGTGGTTCTAAGGTCTCACATTATTTTATTTTGTATGTATTTTTTTATTACTACTGTAAGAGTTAATAGAATAGGATTTTTACACATTTCAGCTACTAATTGTATTATTCTAGTTGTTTTTCCTTGGTCATTGATGACCACGTGGTCCCCCAAAACTATTATGTATAGAGGAAAAAAGAAATCAAATAATTAAAAAATAAGAAACAAAATTAATACTCATGGATAATATGTATATCTACATAACAATCCAAAAGAATCAACAGAAAAACTATTAGAACAAATATGGGAGTGCTACAAAATTGAAGGCTATAATAATGATATATGAAAACCACTCTACCAAAGACTAATTAAAGATTATAATTTAAAAATTTTTATTCAAAACATAACAAAATTCAAAAGGTACCTGGAAGTAAATAAAGCAAACAAAAAGAGTTGCAAGGCCTATTGTGCAGAAATTATAAAATTTCAATGAAGGCCATAAAAAAAGACTAAAGTAAATAAGATATTTATGTTCATGAACAGGAACTTCTAATATTGTAAAGATGTTAATTCTTTGTAAATTTATCAATCAGTTCAATACAATCTCAAGAAAAATTAGAGCAGTATTTGTGCGTGTGTGGAAATTGACACATCAATCCCAAAATTCATATGGGAGGGTGAAGCAACATGAATGACAAACAATCTTAAAGAAGGATAAATCGAGAACAAAAATTTGACCTACCATGACTTAATTTAAAGTGATAGATTCAAACAGTATGTACTCACTGATATAGGGGTAGACAAATGGCCCTTTCCCAATTTCTTTGCATTCCTAATGGTTTATAGTCCAAGTTAGCTCTATCTTTGCGTGCCTGCTTGCATTAAATTCGTTTAGTTAGAAATGTGTCTCGCCCCTCTATGTCAACCAGATGAAAACTCACTCCTTTTCTGGTTTGTTCCATGGACACCAGACTAGGGCCCCTACTCCTCTTTATCCAAACACCAACACCTGCCTTACTTCTGTGAGGCCCAGGAGAGGACCCATTCTGAATCCCTCGTGCTCACACCAGTGAGAATGACAGAGGGAAGGGGCGGTCTCCACTCGTTGGGATCTCACTCACTGGACCACTCAACATCTGGAGAAAAGAAACTGCTTCAGCAACCTGTTCCTTAGATGAAACCACCTTTCCCCAGCTGGCCCCTGCTGGACTGAAGCAGACAAGAAGTCCCCACAGTATTAAGCTGCTACACCAGCAGTTTCTCTGTGAGGCCCTTGTTTGATCCCCCCATGCCCTAGACTCCCAGCCTTCATGACACATGGAGTTAACAGTGGGAACAGTTATTGGGGAGCCTCACGTGCTCCTGTTTGCACTTCAGCCCACCTTCCTCCTTTGCCATACTTGTAACACACCCGTCATGCTTCTCACGCCAGTTTTATCGGTCACCATCAGAAACCTAAGCCTCCCAGGTCGCCTGTGGTCACTGCTCTGACTTCCTTTAATTTCTGTCCCTGTCCGTTCACCTCAATCCTTTCACTGGAATTTGTGGTCTGTCATCAGCAAACTCCTCATACTATTTATATTTTGTCAGAATGATCCCTTAACTTTCGTGCCCTAAAGAGTAACCTTGCCATGTTCAGTTAATATTCTTTCCCCTGCAATCCTCTCACATGTCACATGTCTCAGAGCCCCAGGGCCGTGTTATCATCCTTGCTCCTTAGGGCTACTTCATAATCAGAACTACTCCTGTCTTCTCCTTCCAAACTCTCTCAGTTCCTTTGAACTCAGACTTTAACTCCCTCTAACTGCTTGATTGCCAACCTCTGGTGACCTTTCCGTCACTCACACTCACTCACTGATGAGTTTAGCCTCTGGACCCCTGCCTTCCCCTCCACCCTCTTTTGGTAAACATTTCTGGTGACTTCCCACCCATGTGGATGACCCATGCAATATTCAGTTTCAAGGCCTCCTCTTCTTCGACGATCGTTCCCCCATCTTACTCCTGTGGTCACGTTCTTGACCTTGACTCTAACACGGTCACTGCTCCGAACCTTCTCCACAAGCATCTCATGCTCTGTCCACTGCCTCCTGTTCTCTCAGTCTGCTGGTCCTCCTAGTCCAACATTTCTGTGACTTCATCGAGACTTCACTGAGCTCCCTCTGCCACTTTTTTCACCACCCGGAATTTTTACTTTCTTCCTCTATCACCGTAGCTTATAATGCTTCTGAAACTTCCTTGCCGTTTATCGTCCTCACCTGCATGATGCCAACTCTGGTTAAGACCATCCCTACTCTTGCACTGGCACAGCAGGATATTACTAGAAAAAGAAAACAAAAAGATGCACCCGTCTCACTTTAAAATTCCACCAACTTGTCTCACTGTAAATTCATGATCGCGAGTCTCAAAGGGGCACTCAGCACTGTCCAGAAATCCTCTCTCTCTCCCCGCTGGTATATTTATTTTCTCACTCTGCAAAATGACCTTATCACACTTCTTCCTACTTCTTGAACTCTCTACATCACCTTCATTTTCTTTACACTCTCAGACGCCTTTTGATACTTCATGTAGAAAATCAGAACCGATCACAAGGAACTCCTCCGTCACTGCACCTGCGTATCTGGTATTCTACTTGCATTCGTCCTCACATGCTTTGTCCTTTTGCCTGTCGCACTGTGAGAAGTGTCTCTGCTGCTGTCAGAGGCCACCCCTCACCCCTTGGGCTCTGGATCTCATTCCTCTCAGCTACCTGAAGAACCTTGTTCCTGCATCTGTCCTGAAAATCTCGCCCTTCCTGGGTCGGCTCATTCGTACGCCAACACACTCTAACATCCTCCATCTTAAGCAAAAATTTCATTTATCTCACTTTACTCCCATCCCCTATTTCCATTTTCCTTCAAAGCGAAATTTCTGGAAAGAGTTCATTACAGATGGTGCTACATTTCCCACCTCCCATTGTATCTTCATTCCACCACACATCAGACGGTCTTCCCAAGGTCACCCATCATCTCCACATTGGCGGTTCGCACGGCCAAATCGGCATTTCTGGTGCTGACTGTGCCATTAAGACCAAACCCCCGATTCAATTGTCTTTTTTCCATTTACTCTTGATGTCTAATGAGCATCTGAAATGTAGCAAGTCTCATCCAGAACTCTTGATTTATCTCCCTCTAAAATCTGTTCCTCTCCAGTATTCTTCTCAGTTAACATCCAGTTACTCAAAACTAACACCTAGCACACATTACTGGCTGCTCTCACTCTCATGACGTCGAGGAAGGTGCTATACCCAGCGACCATCCCCACTGTTAAAATCTGATGTCAAGCTATCATTGTTTTTCCATGAGACTAACAGCTTTTTAAATGGTCTCTTCTGTTTCTAGTCTTGTGTCAATATAACTCACCCTCCAAACAGCCACCAGAGTGATCGTCTCAAGTGTAAATCAAATTACATGACTTACCAACTTCACACACTCCAGCGGCTACCCTCTGCACTTTAGAATAAAATCTAGACTCTTCACGGTGGCCTGCCTCAGCTTCTGTAATCCTGGGTTACAACTGTGGCCTGTAACTGAATTTCAGTCCAAAATATTAACCAGAACGAAGCATTTATTTTACTGCCTGCTTCTCTGTTAACTATTTCTGAACTTTGCTGGAATCTGTTCATGTGATATCTTGCTGAACACCTCTCCTCATCCCTACTTAGAATATAGAATACTGTTAAGTATAGTGGAACTAGTTTAGTGCTTACCAGAAAGGCAAAGTTTGTCTTTAGTTTTCTTCC